ACGATTTATTTTAAAGGGTCCTTCCCACTTCGGTTGTAACGGGCCGACATTGGCCCCAGTGACTCTTTTCAGGACAAGGTCTCCTTTGACAAATGAGCGTGGCTTGAGTCTCGAATTTATGTACTTTTCACTGCGTCGTTTATAAGCGACATTGCGAATTTCGGCGTCAGCGCGTAACTCGTTGACTAAATCAAGACTGACTTTCAAGTTTGCTGAGTTGGTTTCTTCAGAGAAGTGAGTGACCCGATATGTCAGAGAGGCAAGTTCAACCAGCATCACAGCTTCAGTTCCATAAGCTAACGAAAACGGAGTTTCTCCAGTGGAATTTCTCGTCGTCGTCCGATAAGACCAGAGGACATAAGGCAACTCATCAGGCCATGATCCTTTTGCAGCTTCAAGTCGAGTTTTCAAGCCATTCTTGATAATCTTGTTTACGGCTTCTATCTGTCCATTAGCTTGTGGGTGATAAGGTGACGAGAAGAAATGCTTGATGCCGTAATCTTCACAAAAACTTTCAAATCGCTTGCCTTCAAATTGACGACCGTTGTCGGTTATAATGGAGTTCGGAATTCCAAACCGACAAACGATTGATTTCCATACAAAATCCACCATTTTTTGCTCCGTGATGGTTACAAGGGGCTCGGCTTCAACCCACTTAGTGAAATAATCGACGGCTAAAATAGCAAACCGAACTCCCCCTTTTGCTGTTGGAAGTGGGCCGATCAAATCAATTCCTCATTTTGCAAACGGCCATGGACTATATATCGATTTGAGGAGTTCAGGATGTTGGTTAACGTTAGGAGCAAATATTTGGCACTTGTGGCACCGTCGCACCCAATCCGTGGCATCTTTCCTAATGGTAGGCCAGTAGTAGCCTTGTCGGAAAATTTTGTGAGATAAAGTTTGAGCTCCCTGGTGGGTACCGCAGACTCCTTCGTGCACTTCTTGAAGGACTCATTGAGCGTCAATCTCTGACAAACATTTCAGCAATGGAGTAGAATATCCACGCTTATATAACGTTCCTTGAACAATGGTGTAATGAGCAGCACGAACACGAAGAGCACGAGCTTCTTTCGGGTCTTCAGGTAAGGTCCCGGTTTGAAGATAATCAATGATCGGACTCATCCACGTAGGATTTGAAGTTAATGGGGCAGCGTCAACCATGACGACGTCGGTAGAGACTATTGATGAGGTCGTCTGTTGGGTGATTTGCACGAACTCAACATTATTCAAGTCAGTTGATGAGGCTAATCGTGAAAGAGCATCTGCCTGAATATTGGATGACCGAGGTATATGCTCCAACGTCATTTTAAACCGTGCCAGCTTCTTTTTAACGAGATCAAAATAAGGTAACAACCGTGGTTCTTTAACTTCGTAAGTACCATTAATATGGCTGACTAATAACTGAGAGTCGGAAAATATCCGGAGAGAGGAAACATTCATGGACTCGGCGAAGTGTAAACCTGATAAGAAGGCCTCGTACTCGGCTTCGTTGTTGGTGGCTGGGAAGGTAAATGCCACAGAGTAGCAAAACACTTGTTGATCTGGACTAACTAAGACAATCCCTCCTCCGGCTCGTATAGCAGTGGACGACCCATCAATGTAGAGAGTCCATGTCGGATCTTCAATGGATTAGTTGACAGTGGGAGTAAATTCAGCAATAAAATCAGACAGCACTTGAGCTTTGATAGAGGTTCGTGGTCGATACTGGATATCAAACTGTCCCAACTCTATCGCCCATTTAATCATTCTTCCCGACGTGTCAGGTCGGTGAAGGACTTGTCGGAGAGGATATGTCGTAAACACAACAATTGAATGCTCCAAAAAATATGGGCGCAACTTCCGTGCAGCGATGATCAGAGCATAGGCCAACTTCTCCATATGCGGATATCGCAATTCAGCGTCATGTAAAGCCTTGCTAACATAATACACCGGAAACTGTTGAATCCCATCTTGTCGTATGAGAACAGCACTAACGGCAACGTCACTTACACCAAGGTACAAATACAGAGGCTCATCAGGAAGTGGCTTCTGCAATGTCGGTAATCGTAAAAGAAC